GTCCATGCTCTCATGGTGGGAGTCAATCCAGCTGATCATTGGTTGAGGGCCACGCATAGAAACAGACAACTGTTTATGCTCATTCAAATCTGACCTGGAATCAAATTAGCAAATGGATGATGTTTTTGCTGTAAGGCAAGACACTTTATCACATCCTTCTCACAAAAAATGCTATAAAGCACAAGTAAAACAATATGCCTTGTCATTGGCTTTGTAAGACTTGGCTGACATGAGATTGCCTCTGCCGCCTTTTTTAATACTGTTTATGAGACGTGAGATTTATGGTGTTTAATAAACAACCTTACGTGACTGTAAAATCCTCTCTACATTGTGCGTCTTTTGGAAGTTTGCTCATTAGATCTCTAGCCTCTTTGTCAGCACCCTGAAGACCTCCTTATAGGTTTTCTCATTAAAGTATTCATCAGTTTGGCCTCATCAAAGATTAAGAGTGTCTTCTCAGTCCGTTATGAGATGCCATGGATTTTATTTGATGAACTCATAATTCATCCATTATGTATGTATGTATGTATGTTTGTTTGTATGTATGTATGTATTGCAGCTTGCAGAATGCCTTGCAGGAAACAGCAAAAGGGAGCTTGAGCTTCTTAACTTAGACATATGAAGGCAGAGTAAGGTCAGTGCATTTGTTTTGATTAAGTCTGTTTATTTTGGCAGCAGTTCTCTCTGTGATAAACTGTAGAGCAATTACCTGACGCGGAGAAGATCAAACTCATCTTGAACTGGGAAAGTTCTAATGAGAAATACACGATAAGATTTACATTAATATCACACCGGCTGAGTGGAATTAGCTTCATTGTAGCAGGGCTGATGAGGAGGCCGCGTTGCAGTGAGTCTCTGGGAAGCACAGGTGCTTCATCAGAAGCAGCAGGCTGAACGCAGATCAGCCGTCCATTCACTTATTGAATTCCTTCTCATAGCTTGTTGTCGTCACACTCCCTGGGATTGAATGGGATTCCACTCATTTAAGGGAGGGCAATTCAGAACATTTTTTCCACAGAAAGGTCTCCTGGAAATTCAGAAAGTGACACGAAACGCTTAAATTTAATCCCATAGCATTGACAAATGTCAAAGAGAAACAGGGTTACGGCACGAATGACAGATGAGAGTAGCTCTGTGGTGACAGAGCTGTGTGACTAAATGGGTATTGTCATTCTACAATGAGAGGTTGTTTAAAGTGAAATGGATTGTGATTGGTGCACAATGTTGTTCCTGGCTGTAGAACCAATGCAAATTGTGGTGTATTTGTTTAGGAAACACAGACCTTCTTTGGGTTGGGTTGTTGACTCAACCACACATGTGACTGTATAAACCAGCTAATGACAGATAAGATTCCCTCAGAAATCACAATGTGTGCTTGCAAAAAAGTTTTCTTTGTGTATATAATTGTATATTGTGTGTCTATATGTGTGTGTATTTATACATGTGTATTTATGTCCATCACCATCATGACATGTCCAAACTGCATTTAAGGAAACAGTTGTCGAAGAAAAACATGATACACGTGACAAAGTTGCAAAACCGTCTAATAACGTAGCAAGAGTTAATTCACTGAGTTTATTTCAGCACACAAAACCAAACTGTGGTCATTATTTAGGACACATCCGGCACGTGGGAGTAAAACTGTGGAGCTACAGTTGGACGTGAATGTGGGCGGCTAAATGCATTGTACTGTTTATTTTAAGGGTCTGCTGACAATTTCCAACTGAAAAACATAAATGAGGAATAGAACAAATTTAATTTAAAAACAAAAAACAGATTATTGTTTATTTTTGATATTTAGTAAATGCTCTGGGAGAAGTGCGTCGTATGAGAGATAATCTTACATTAAAAGGCCCTGTAAAAAAAACAGAAACATAGAGCTGACAGATTAGCATGGTTTAAATTTTTTATTTTATTCTTTTATTTTTTTTAAATAAAAAAGATCAAAACAAAACCATCTTGTGTGTAAATATGACCCACCAAAACAATCACTGAGTCAGGCTTACTTACTAGAACACATCTTCATGCCAACCACCACCCTGAACAATAACACTTTATGCAGAAATAATGATTATGTACTAATATCTTTT